TTTATCATTTTATGAAATATATCTTGGTCTATTTGAATTGATCAATTGTACTAATAATATGATTTTTGTTTCACCATGGCTTCCACCACACGATGTGACACTTCTTGATCTTAAGAATACTATGGAGCGACACATGTGTTTATCTTTTGTAAGAGAAAGCGTCCAGAAGATAATAAATTACAAATACATTTGGATGGAATATCATCTTTGTTTAGAACATATTAAACTTCTTTGTAACAATGAAAATGATTCGATACATGGTATTATAAATTCATCTGACTTACATTTTATAAAGAAACGTCCAATGTAAAATAAATTGGAAAGAAGTTTGTATCTTGAAACAACTTACTTTTACTACCTAATTGTGTTACTTTTTACTACCTAATATTTTATTTACTTTAATATTCAAGTAATGACAATTGATTTACAGCATAGTTGAAATTATACAAGTAGTACATAATGCATATAAATAGAGTCTTTCTACGAAGTATTTACTACTAATTGTAATCTTACTAAAAGTGACTCTCAATTAACATTATTTTAACATTTTTTTGATATTTCCACAGATTCTTACAAGTCATGCCAGACATTCAATCTTCTAGCATCATATAAGTTAGCTCTGACGCAGCAGATTTCTTGCAATTTGTAACAATCAATTTCTTCTGATTGAACATTCTATACAGTGCCTCTCCAATCCTCTCACAGTAATTTTTTAGCCTGAGATGCCAAAATATTCCGGAAGCTCTTCTGATATTTTTTCAAAGTCCTAGTCATAGATATTTTTGTCATACTTAATGTTAAGCCACATAACATTTATGAGATTACACAGGTTACTCAGACCTTCGTAATGCACATCAATGACATCGATTACTTCGAGAATATGGTATAAATTATTTGCATTGGGTAAGTCGGAAGTACCATCCTTATTTGAATCTATCCAAAAATTGGAATCTTTGAACCTCACTTTGCTTCTATGATATGCAACAAAATTACACCGGCCCCGGGAAACGTACCGATCCCAGGAAGTATATCGACTCTGGTAACTTACCGCTCTCCGGCTAACTTATCGACTCTGGTAACTATCGATTCTCGAAAACTTATCGACCCTGGCAACTTACCGACTTCAAGAAATTTAACTTACCCACTATTGATGAGTTGTTACTGTGTTATCTACTTTTACCGACAAAGAATATCACATTGAAGTTCTAAAACTGAACGACAGTATCGCTCTCTCATATTGATATTTCTAGAGCTTCCTCATTTGTTACGGACGCTGTATGTGACAATAGGTCCGTTCGTTTTCGCTGCACCGCTGAACTAATGTTATAAGTTGAAGTAAGACAACATATACTTGTCTCGCTTCAACTTATTTCACTAGTTCAGCGGTGCAGCGGAAACGAACGGCGTTGATGACGTCATGATGACATCATTCTCGATAAAAAGAACGCTTTAGTGTAAACTCCTTGCACTGGTGTGCACTAGTGCAGAAAGTGTTTCGAAAAAAAACAAACCTAATTTTTTGTCAAGATATTCCGCCTCGGCGGAACGCGTGTAAAATTATTTCCCCACAACTATGTGAAAATGGTGTTGGGACATTTTGGATCGCCTGTAATCACATACTGAGAGGGAAAAAGAGAGAGAGAGAGAGATATAGACAGAGAAAAAGAGAAAGAACTTTTCTAACCTCCACTATATTTTCATTCGAGAATGTTTTCTATTGACTGTATGGCAATTTCTACTTTTAAAATGTTCATGCAAACACAAAAACTAATGGATTAATTTCATTTCTTTTTCAAAGTCTGAGTTAATATCCTTAAATATTAACCATAATCGACTGTCACTCATCAACCATTATTATAATGTTTGTGATTATCAATTAACGTAAGTAAAAATGCTTTTCGATTAACACACAATAAGTTTATCATAAATCTTAATCTATTTATATTATTATAGGGTCAAATACATATAACATATTGAAAAACACATAACATTATAGCAATTCAACACTTTGATGTCGTGATTGTATTCTTGAAATTTGGACCAGAATGAGATTTAATGATAAAGAGCTCGCAGAAGCGAGTTTTGGTCCCGCAGACTTCGAAGGACGTCTAAATCACAAACGGGCCCATAAATCAGGTTAGTTCAAAATGGATATAATTAAGTATGTTTCATGTAACGCTAATCAATTTATCCGACAATTGGCATCTAACGTATTTTATTGATTCGTAAATGATTTTATTGATTCATAAATGAGGTTTTTTTTCAATCATCATCCTATGTCCATTGAATTTTATTAGATATTCTGTTATTACAACTGGTTTTTAATATGTATATATGAAGTAAGTCATCATATAAATCAAGAAATGTATAATATATACATATATATGTATATGTGTGTGTGTGTGTGTGTGTGTGTGTGTGTATGTGTGTGTGTGGTTGCAGGCACGTGTGTTCATGCATTCCATCTTTTATATACATATATAATTGTAAATTATGTATATGATACATATGTAGTTGGATGATTAAAAGTTGTAACACTCTCTCGATGAATTTTGTACTATTCCATATTTAAAAGGAGAGTTTGTTTTTTTTTATAATTTCCAGGAAATATATTTTCCTACTGGATACGGAATGTATAAAACTCATCAAGGGAAAGGCATTATACCTTTAATCAGCCAATTGTATATTATATATCTTCATTTATAATTACGTATGCATATGTAAAGTATTTGACATAACATGTACATCTGCTTGTATGCAGATAGAATTTATCAAACTGAACAAAAGGCCTTTGTTATTTTGTAAATAATGATTATTAAAATATTAATTAAAGAAAATTGGCAAACAAATGTTTGTGATGTAGTGGGACGAGCATTTTCGAGCAATCTGAAAACACATTTTGAATTTCTTTTTTTATTTCTGCGATTCTTGTTGCTAAAAGTTAATATGACAAAAACGCGTCTCTTTAAATTGCTTTACACAAAATTTGCCCCACCACATCATAGGCACTTATTCAATTATTCTTTTTAACTGATATCTTAGTAATTATTGTAATTGTTTGAAAAATGGTAAGGAATTTTTTTTGTTCAGTTTTATTAGTTTTAATTACACACAAGTAAATATGTACATGTTGTATCCTTACAAAAATATTTCACTGTTTTTAGCCCACGATAATTGTTTGAGTAATGAAAATATGCGTTTGGCTGAGTATGACCCTGTTTTTAAATCGGAAAGGAGCGTTTTTTCGTAACAACTAGTAATTATAGCAGATTGCATATGAGTATATAATGGTATTAACGTATCATTGTAAGTGTTTTGAAGTAGCAAACACGTATAGAAAGTATTCTGAAAGAGGGTATGCATTTCAGATTATTTGGAAAGCACACGGCGTTTATTAGGTCCACCTTTCTTTTCATTCAACTTTACTTGTTGAATCTGAAAATCTTAATCAAAATAGTCTTAATACCCTTATAGAAATTTTATACTGAGAATTAACTTACCGAAAACGAAATTTGCAGTGATTAAATACTGAAAATATTTCAGTTATTATTTGGTCGGTGCTTAATCATTGGTTAACTACTGCAAGTATGATTTACTGTAATTACAAAATATTGTTTGTAGCAAAATTATATTGATATAAACGAGATAAAATAAGCTAATGTTAGATTATTTTGTTTAATATGTTAGCTGCCAACTACTCGTAGTTGGCATATGAGCCTCATAAGCCAACTACGAATATACTCAACTCGATTACCAACTGTGCCACTCCTGTGCCAAGCACGAGTTAATCCGTAGTATAAGCACGTTAATTTTGCCATGTGAATAAAGCGGAGAGCATGTCTGGTAACTTGATAGAACAAACTATGCCCAAGGAGCGTGGCAGCGGACGTGTTAAATAAAAAAATACTATTTTTTTTTGCTCTTCTCATCTCATAATGTGTCCCTCCGTGGTTTCGACTCCATAGTGGTTACCCATCCTTTTCCCAGATATGGTCAACATTGATCAAACAGGAACTTCTGATACTAATGCGTAGTTAGCTTGTGAGGCTCATATGCCATGGTGATATCCTGAAGTATTATGCCTATAATGTATTCTTATATCGTTCAAATATTGCAATAGCATAATGTTGAAAATAACACAAAAATAATCGATATGCGACGGAAATTAATGTAATATATACCAGTTATGCCACGATTATTTTTGAATTTTTAATTAGATTATAGTGAATTTTTAAATAAACGATAAGTTACTTTAGAAAACACAAGTTATAAAAAAATTCATACTAATCATGAAAAAATGTGTACTTTTTTTCTGGTTATCCAAAATTTTTCTTATTTTTTGCAAAAAAATATAGTTGTACTTCCAAAATACATTTATAACATTCGATAAATAAGTGGAATATTATGGACAAGATCATAATATATCCTGAGAATATATGAAAAATAATGTACTATACGATGTATAAGAAATATTGTGAAGTCACAAATATTAATGACTGCCACTAGATATTAATTATTGATATGAAACGTTACTAAATTAATTTGAAGTACTAATAACCCTGTTATTTAAGTGTTTAAAATACCACATATATATGTATGTATGTATGTGTATACATACACCGGGTGTTTCAGACCACCCGTACACCACCGTATTTAAAAAGGAGGGAAGTGATTATTTGGAAAAATATTCAAACGAAAGATACTGCTTGATCTCTGCCGTCGATCTATCATCACACTCTGTCATCAAATTTTGTTGTATCTCTGCCAGCAAGCTGTTTACAGATTTTAAAACAGACTGTGCAAAATTTGCTTTTACAGATTTGGCTATCTGGGTATACTTATTCGCTTAATAGACATACCTGAGAATGCCAAAAACGGATATAAATGATAGGTTAAAAATATGTCGAAAACGAGCCATATGAGAAATAAAAGTGGTGAAATATTTTTGTAAGAAATCTGACAATTTATGTATAGAGTATTCCTTAAATCCAGCCTGAAGGGGATTCTTTTTTGTTTATTTCAAGTAAAAAAGTTCATATAAACATGCATCCTAAACGGTTTCCGAAATACAGGATGTTTGTTTTAGAAAAAAATCCGTTTCCGAAATACAGCATGTTTGTTTAAAAAAAAAATCTGTTAACGTGTAGTAATAATCTATCTGAGGTGTCAGTTACAAAAATAAAAAAAAGAGAAAGCAGTAAAGAAGAATACAAAAACAGGCTTCAATTCTTCAACACATTTGTTATTTTTGAGCGTGTAGGTCAATCTTTGAGAAAAAGGGCCAAAGGGAGTATCATGACAGAAGGTAGTCATTTTTAACAATTTATTTGTCTCGTTTCTAATTTTTTTACTTATTGTATTTCTGAAATATCACCCCTGATGTGTTATAAGTTTACACAAATTTCAATAAAATATCTTAAAACCCGCATCACATTTACATTTTCTTGAAGACTTCATCATCCTGTATTTCGTAAATTAAAACGTTTAGGGCATATGTTTATATGACCATTTTTACTTGAAATAAACCAAAAAATCGCCTCTTTCAGTATGACTAGGTATTTAAGGAACACCTTCTATACGTGTGTATACACATACACACACGCACGCGCGCGCGTATAGCATAAAGTCATTTATACATACATGTGCACGTGCATATATAGTAACATTAAAACTTATGTTTCATTTTCAGTATTTAAAGAAAAATGGTTTAAGTTGAGATACAATTTATTGTTTTATTTCAACATCAATGAGTTAGGACATATTGATAGAAGGCAACCTGCTGGTGTCATTATTCTGGAGAATTACAACATTAATATAGATACTTCGTCTGAAGGAGTATTTGCATTTAATATCTCGTTCCATGATGATCACGACAAACGGCATGTTTTGAGTGGTCGATCAGAGTCTCATGTTGAACAGTGGATTACTGCGCTTAAACAAGCAAGCTATGGATATTGGAGATCTCAACTAATTATACTTCAAGAAAGATTGTGCAAGAAAACTGGCAAAGATCCATTACTTATGTATCCTAGGAATCAAGGTGTTGTACGAGATGACGCTTGGGAACCTGCTTCTAGCTTTAGATCTCATGTACGTTCGTTCACAACATCAGTTGTGTCATCTCCCATGTTAAATACAATAACGAGAGAAGTTAATCTTATAGAACTTTAGTATAAAGAAATAATTTTAATTAAGACAATGTAAGAGATTGAGAGACAAGAAATAGGTTTTTGAGATTTGTATCTTAAAAAAAAGCATGCATAATATAATGTACGTAATAGGACTTTATATTTAATATGAATTTACCTTTTATTTGAACACGTTCGCTGCCAATTACGAGTATACTCGTAATTCATATATAAAGCCTCACAAGCCAACTACGAATATACTCGTACTGTCGATTACTGACCTCCTATGCCAAGCATGAGTTAATCCGTAGTATAAGCACATTAATTTGGACTCTTGGCTTGTGAATAAAGCGGAGAGCACGTCTGGGGGCTTGGTAGAAGGAAAATCTTTTCAGCAAAATTATAGTATATTATAAATAATCTGTAAATCTTAACATCTAGCGGAAGTCATCAATATGTGTGACTTCACACAATATTTCTTATGCATCATGTAGTACATTATTTTTCATATATTCTCAGGATATATATTATGATCTTGTCCGTAATATTCCACTTATTTATCGAATGTTATAAATGTATTTTTGAAATGCCTCTGTATTTTTTGCAAAAATAACCAAAACTTTGAATAACCAGAAGAAAAGGATACATTTTCTCATTAGTATCAATTGTTTTATAACTTGTGTTTCCTAAAGTAATTATCGTTTACGTTAAAATTCATTATAATCTTTAGTTGAAAATTCAAAAATTATCATGGCATAACTGATTCACTGGTATATATTATATTAATTTCCATCGCACATCGATTATTTTTATGTTATTTTTGTTAAGTTTGGGGTCTTAAAAATATGTCTCTAAAATATTATGTTGAAATTCGCAGCGAAACTATAATAATTGTAAAAATAGCGCACCTGGCCTACCTGGAGATGCTCAACATGGCAGATAATCCGTTTTTCGGAACGATTGGCTTTATAATTATTATGTCTCGAGAGAATTACAAAAGACCCGATTTGTAATGTTGACTCCTTTGTAACTTGTGTGCCTCTTATTATTGAATATATATGAATCCTTGAATATTTTTAATGGGCTAGCCAACTACAAATGTCAGAATTCTGGATAAAATGTATCACACAATTTGGGTCACTCTCTATCATAAGGGTTCAAGTAACGAAATTCCGAAACGTGATCATTGCTCGGAGAGACTTGAATCCTGGTGCACTTGGCAGTAAGCAAAAGTTGTAGAACAATTGAGCAACTATACACACAAAATACCGCTCCCAGATGACGTCATCGATGTCTGCAGACACTCCAATTTATGAAGGTCCGAATGACAAAAAGCTGCTTGAAAAATACTTCTGGGTAGTTTTACTCAAAACAATGAGAGTTTCAACGGCTTACTTTGGAGATTCACTCCACAAACTATAGGTCTATACAAATCAAAATCAAATTGCATATTTAGCCATTTGCATATTCAATGGAAGCTACACAGATATATTACAGATAATGAAGCTACTAGGGGTTAAAATTAAATTAACAACAGCATAGTATTGACACTGCGAGCACCGAATTGCGAGTGCTCGATATATATGTATATATATGTATATATATCGAGCACATTACACCTAATATATATATATACCTATTTGCATTTCCTTGCTGGTAAGTAGATATTGTCACAGTTGAATATCATTACTAGATTTGAATAGTAATCGATTGGCAGAAACCGAAGGTATCATCTATAGGTAACACTATAGGTTGTGGAAAGACATTTATTCAAGAAAATATTAATACATTCCAGAACATCTTGGGTTTAATTGTTGCAATATTGACGCTCGAAGAATTGTTAAATCTTGTGTTTCAAATATACTTTGGCTTCTATCATAATTACTAGGTAAGTCTTTTGATAATGACTATCGTGAGTCTGCTGAGTCTCCAAATCCATTGCACCTAAACCATTTTGCAGCCACACAAATGCATGAATTATAGTAATTTAATATTAAATTATTTTAATTTCAATGATATGCCTGTAATTGATGGTGTATTAAATTGATACACATTCATATGTATCACATCATCTTGAGTACACAGTTCATAGAAAAATAATTGATAATTTAGAAATATATTTGGTCAATACTTAAGGATATTTGAAATTCTTATGTAAAATTACTATTATGAAACTAAAAGAACAAGAATATAGCTTTATCAATCGTCTTACTATTATTATGTTGAGTATTTATAATGTATTTACAATATTATACTATATATTATTAAAAATATTATGTATAAGAAATAATTATGCATAATATATATTTTCTTCATGGTTTTTTTTCGTACTGCCTTTCCATCTCTTCCAAACGATTCTTCTCAACTTTAGCATTGTAATTATAAATAAACTTGTCCATTTCCTCAAATTTCTGTCTACTTTGAGGTGGAAAATATTCTTTCTTGGCTTTTATCACCATTTCTTCAAAATTCTCTGGTTGATTAAAATAATGAAATATTCCCACAGGAAATGATATATACATGAACATTTTAAAAATTTCAAATTTCCAATCCATCTTTCAGATATCTAAAAAAGAAAANTAATGAAATATTCCCACAGGAAATGATATATACATGAACATTTTAAAAATTTCAAATTTCCAATCCATCTTTCAGATATCTAAAAAAGAAAAATATATTAGTTATAGCTATACACGAATTTATGATATTTGGGTAATTATTTAGTTTAGCTACATCAGCAAATATCAATAAAATTACGCTTATTTGACGCGTTTTTGCACAAAAAAATCTGGCAGAAAAAAATATCGCTCTGCCAAAAATATATATAAATATATTTTATAAATATATATACATATTATATATGTATAGATATTAATAAGTAGGTATACATACTTATGTATATTTTTATACATTTCAATATATTTGATATATTTAAATATAATAAATTTAGTTTTTATTTTGCTTATGATATGGAAATCTTTCACTTTACTGAAGTATATACAATGAATCTATCTTATACTAAAATTGTAACATTGAAAATTAGCATAGACCCCTGTGCAAAGTTATATCTGCTAAATAAGAACAAATACAAAAAATAGTAAATTATAAATTCAGATAACAATATTTCTAATAAGTAAATTATAAGTTAACAACATACCTTTGTTAAAAAATATTCACTGTTTTAATTTTAGTATGAAATAGACTCATCACACAGACTTTAGTAAGGCGAAGATTTAACATTTATATTCATTGTAATTGTTTTGTTTAATGTGGCCACAGAGCATGCTCATGTCGTTACATATCATTGATATGACGAGATTCCTAACCTGTCGAGTCGACAATTTTAACGATTAATATCTCGCTTCGCGAGACAGAGCGGTACTTTTTTCTGTCAGATTCTTTCGTGCAAAAATGCATCAAATAAACGTAGTTTCAGTGATATTTATACTTAGCTAAATAATTACCACAATTGCAACTTATAGACAAAATATAATTAATTTTTAATACCTTCGACAGATATATCAAGAATCAATTTTAATATAAGAAACGCTTATCTCTTTGACAAGCGTATCTTAGATTAGTTTTTGACACACGTCCAGTCACCAAACTCATTTGTGGTTACAGGCCGCTGAAATGCAAGCTCCCCACACCATTTGCAGGTATACACGTCCAGTACGTAAAAGGAAGAATATATAGGCTGCGTTCTCTTTACGCGTTCACGCGCTGTATACTTCGGAAGTGTTCTGATATACACCGGCAAATCTGGCAGTTCGGAAAAATTGTTCGGGAAGGTCTTGATTGACCACGTTACAATTGACCACCACCAATTACAATCAGCTATAATTTGGTGATTTTCTAGTGTCGTCCAATAGGTGTAGCCTATGGTCAATACAGACGTGGTAAATCGGGTCCCAGTTAAATTGTCCGCATTCAGTGGAAAGAACAGCTCAGGGAACGTTTAATGATTATTGTCTGTGAGTGGAGCATTCTTTTAGACTCATACTAGATCCGGGAATATAAACCAATCAGGAGCGATAATTAGTAAGCGCTTCCTGAATTGGAACTTGAATTATTCGTAACTACTCATATATGTAACTTGCAAGTTGTATCCAATGAACGTACTATTTTTACGGAATAACTGTAACGAATAGTTTTTATTAAAGAGTTTTTGCAATACTGTCTTTTAAATACGGTAAAGTGCGTTCCGAAATTCACTGCTAGTATTGCAAATTTACAGTTTGTATTAAACCCGTATCAGACTACGGATTGAAAATTGAAATTGATTGCAAATGAACCAATCAGTGCAAATTTCATTAAATTTTACTAAACTTGAATTTAGTTAACTTTACACTCATTGGTGCACTTTCAAAAATGGATGATAACACACCAATAAAAACGCAGTATTTCCGTCTAGTGAACAATCCAGTACAAAATAAGTGTGCCGCTGGCTTAATATGTGTGTGTGTGTGTGTGTGTGTCAGTGGATTACTCCCATTCGTCCATCTGACATTTGTTAATATGTATATTTGTAACTAGATTTCTTAATCCAAGCAAAATAAATAAATTTTTTAATTGTTGATCAAACGATTTAAAATATTTTATGACTTACTATTATTTTGTGAAACGAAATTGAGAAGAAAAAGTTATCGTAAACTATCGGTATTTTAAAATGAACTATCGATTGTTACCGATAATGTAAACTATCGATAGGTATCGATAATTCGATAGCTCTCCGTCCGTAATCAGCACATTTCGGAACACAGCCGTAGTGTTCGTGTGTGTCAGTTTCTACAAATAGGAAGTGTTACTTTGCTGATGCAAATATAAATCATATATATATATATATATATATGATATGTATATATATGTATATATGTATATATATTCATAAATATTGTTATACAGGTGTGATAGGTCAATATAAAGGAAAGTTCATAATTTCATTAAAATGCAATTACGTAAAATACTTCAGTCTTGAAAATTGACACACAGTGGATGTTTTACTCCCTAATAATGTAACAATATTGAGAATTAACAATTTCCTCCTATACTAAGAAAATAATGGAAGAGAGAGCAATTTTATGGATGCTCTCCTTTGTCATGTTTGTTGGTTCCTGCTTAGCTGGGTCGTTACCATTAGTTATAAATTTGTCAGAAGTAAGATGATTTTTGCAGAAAATAAACTATATTAAATATATGAGTTATTTTAAATATGCTGTCAATATATTATTTGACTGTGACGATATAATATGATATTTACTTCCTTCAGGACAAGTTACATTTGGTATCGATATTAGGAGCCGGACTTCTTGTTGGTACTGCACTAGCTGTAATTATACCAGAAGGTATAAGAGCATTATTTAGTAGTGGAATTACTAATGAAAAAGAACTACACAGTATGTAACTTTATGTTTGTTTATCAGAATGTTTATGCTATATGAGTATCCTTAGGAATAACACTTCTTACAGGTGATCTATATTCTTTAATTGGAATTAGCTTAGTATTGGGTTTTATATTTATGCTTTTGATCGATCAATGTTCAGCAAGAAGAAGCGGTGGAAGACAAAAAAGTGTTACAGCAACATTAGGTCTTGTAGTACATGCAGCGGTTGATGGAGTTGCATTAGGAGCAGCAGCTACTACATCTCAAGCTGATGTTGAAGTGATAGTTTTTTTCGCAATAATGTTGCATAAAGTAAATTTTTCCAATGTTTTACAATGTTTTAAAAATTGATAGTAAATAAATGGAAAATGTGCAATACTGAAATTGAACAGCTTTGTTATTAAATAGTATATTTTTTTCTTATAGGCACCAGCTGCATTTGGACTTGTGTCATTTCTTCTTCATGAAGGTGTAGATAGAAAGAAGATTTATAGACATTTATTAATTTTCTCTTTCGCGGCTCCATGTCTTGCACTTGTGACATATTTTGGAATTGGTAAAGTAAGTAATTTAAGTCCCTCTTAATGTATTATTTTTGGCATGTAACTAGAGATGAAATTAATCTAATCTGATGGTAACTTACTTGATAAGTTACGGTAAATTACTCGATAAAATTTTAATAAACTTTAGAAAATTGATAAAATGGTAATTTTCAGAAAAATATTACAGAAATAAAAGAAATTTTTATATGAAACTCAAGAAAGAAAACCTTTAAGATGAATAAAATATTTTATTTAACTCATATTTTTCATAAAATATTTTGATGTATAGTATCTGTTACTAAGTGTCTTATCTATCATATATTTGTATCTTAGGTCAATGTGAGTAAAATTCCTTTATTATTTTGCAACTATGCAAAATTTGAGCTATTGAAAACTATGCTGTGAGGGTTTTTTTTTATTAATAACTTAAAAATTTGCATGGTTATTTGCAAAGTTGTAAGGAACTTTTTTCGTTCAAAATAGCCAACTCTACAAATATATGACATATGTTGTACCTAGCGACAGATATCAATATATTGAGCCCTAAATTTCGAACCTTAAATCTGTCGCTAGATATAACAGCTGTCATACTTGTATATATTAAATTCGATTATTTTGAACAAAAAAGTTCTTTACCATTTTACAAATAATCACGCAAATTTTTGAGTTATTGATTAAAGAAGCCTTTACACCCGATCGTTAGAACTATCTCCCCTAAATGGGAGTTTTACTATTTTTTTTTAGGTTTTTCAAAATAAAAAAGATGTGATAACCCAGATGGCACAGATCTCTTAAGTTCTGAGAATGTCCTGAGGACGTCCCGATGTCCTAAGGACATCCACAGGATATCGTGTGCTGTTTGGGAAGTATAATACAGTTTTAATCTATATATATCATACCTTACAAGCTTACAGCATTTTCATTTATTACAGTGTCAGCTGGACTATGGTATATAATAGAACATTTTTAATGTAAGAAACGAAAAACGAAAACACCTAAAACTTTAATATCCTCAAAAGATTGTAAATAGTTTCTTTCATTTCGTCTGAAAGACATTTCAGAGATTGTCAGATATATATTTACTGAGAAAATAACAATATTCTCTTATTTTATGCATTAGTGCGATAAACACGAATGTAACTTATTTGTGCATGAAACTATGAAAAACAATGAATTTTATCAAAATTGCTACTAAATTGCTATCTTACCGTAATTTTATCGTAAGTGATCGTCACTTTGGATTTGACGGTAATTTTATATCTCTACGTATAACATAAATTCAATAGTATAACTAAATTTTGTATGTGCAGGAAGGAAAAGAAACACTGAATAATGTCAATGCGACTGGTTTGGCTATGTTGTTTAGTGCTGGAACATTTCTTTATGTAGCCACTGTACATGTTTTGCCAGAATTAATGACAAGAAGCAATAGTTATTCACATTTGCCGAGCGTCGAAGGTACAACATTATCTGCAACTGGACTTAAAGTTAAGGAAATATTATTCTTAGTAATAGGATCGTTTTTACCTGCTTTGATTACAACTGGACATCATCATTGACTAAAATAAGTATCTTGTAAAAAATACATATATCTGTAATATATATATATGAAAGTTATTACATTAATTTTTAAAAATTCCATTTTTAATATATATTCTATAAATAATTTGTGTAATTTAGAAAAATGTTTATAAGATTAATATATTTAAAAAATCGTTTTTTCTTATATACGAAATATATTTTGTATTTTCAGCTATTTTACGTACCACTATATTCGTGTTAAATAATATATATTGATGAAAAATACTAAAAATTATTAAAAATTAGAATAGGCCAGTAAGAACTAATCACGATAAGTATATTCGACAATGTAATGATATTGACATTCCATCAGATTTTCAACCTACGCGGGGAATCTCTCTTCCACGTCGAACGTACTCTAATTCTTTTTTTTTTTTGTGTTAAAAATTTCCCCTAAATATCCACTATGAAATTAATTAATTAATACATGTGATTTGATATTCTTGAATGTTGCAATAAATACTGCCTCAGCTAGGGATCGAACGTGGACTGGATCAAACTGAAAGAAAGCGTCTATTTATTTTCAAACTAATATTTATAAGCATCTGTATTGCGAGGAATACTGTGGAAACTACGATGGTCGGTTTAATAAGTTGTCCCGCCCGACAAGTACAGTCGAATATGTTACGTATACTATGGATAAATGCGCTCATATGCGTGAAACGGAACGCACCCCGCCAATCCTGGCAGCGCTGCGAGTATCGTTCTAAAATGTACTGCAGTAAGATTTCATCGACCTCGTGAAAGCATGTGACATCATAAATTTTGTCGTCACTTCCTGCATTCGTTACTGCGGCTGGCGAGGTAAAAATATCTGCCCACAGGACGCGACAACGCATCGTGGAAGTTCACGCAATAGCCAATCAACATGTCGTTTTTCAGTAAAAATGAAAAGTTTATTTACTATCGCACGAACTTCCGCCGCGCGGCAAACGTGCCGTATCCTGTGGGCAGAAACTATTAGGCATTCGCAGTAAAAAAATGACGCCGCCTAGAGGAGGTATATTGAAGGAAATCTGCTTAATATACTCTGAATCAGAATATATAAGTAACGAATCGGAAACAATTATTAGGGCCAAAAAAGATAATGTTGTTGTTAATAAGTAAAATAAAATAATGTCATCTTAGCAGTACTGCGAATATTGTTCCATTATAAAAAAAGCAATAGAAGCAATTAGAGAACGCATCGTCGGCATTGGCAGTGAATATCGGAATGCTCCCTATATTTCATGCATCTGGGTAGGGAATCGGAACGTATCCTAGGTGTTCTGTAGATTCTATGTTTTATGTCAAAATCGTGTTTAAATAACAAAAAGAATCATGAGCAGCAACACGAAGCGGACAATTTATGTAGGCATGTACAAATTATTAATTAAAAACTTTAATCGGTACATTTTTAATTAGCATTGCAGTAATCTCTCTCTCTCTCTCTCTCTCT